GTAAATATAAAGGTTATATAATTTGCAACTTAATTAACACATCTCTTTCTTTTCTAAAATGAGAATACTCTAAAACGCAAGCGTACAAACCACTGTCTTGTATGTAGTTCTCATTATTCGAAGTAGAATTAAACAAAACAGATGCTTCTTGTAGCTAACGTATACATTTGCTTCATATTGTTCACTGAAAAGAAAACACTTCAATATCATTAGACAATGTGGGTCAAGTAGAACGATTCTGATATCTTTCTAAATGATCGTATATTGAAATATATCATAATTTTTAATTAGGTGCATACTTTTCAATATGAAATATTGACAGACGAAAAGCCAAAATCCAAGATCTATATTGATTTAGTCAGTAGTTTAATTGGTGGACCAAACACGATACCTGAAGTTGGCGAACAGAAATAGTTGTTTTTACATCTTAAATATTAAACAGTAACTTTCAAATGAATGTTTGACTTAGTACTATGGATGATTTCTCATGCGGATAGTGTACTCCTGTCAACGTACTCAGAAAAATACATCTTTATCTCCACTTTTTGACTTTAAATAGTCTAGCGGATGATGTATCAGAAGTATCAGACTCACAAACCCTCATAGACTTATTGAAATATAACAGTGGAAGAATTAGATATGCTAGACAAATTAACTAAACATACTATAAACTAAAAAAACTGGAACATATGTGGATTATTTAAAACTTTGAATACCTCGTAGTAAATCGGGTCAAATTTCTGAACCTACACTACAGAGAGCAGTGTAAACCACGCAGTTTGGGCATGGAAACAAACAGGAAAAAACACAGAGCCATATATAAATGTATTGTTTCAATTTCCCATATATTTTTTCCAATCGCACGGAAGAGAGTAAATACAGACAAAAGTAGCTAGACAATGGAAACTTGAAAATAAAGGAAAATCTGTTTTTCCAATCTAGTGTCTCAAACAACCAGTACATAAAATTTTTCAAAGACGTTGTTGGTCCTAACCGCAACAGCAGCTGCATAAACTAATGAAAAGTTCACGAATAGTCACCATCCCGTTCCGGACTTTTTAGAGAAGCCTAGTTGCCTGATGCCAGTCTGGTTACCACACACACGAATAGTAAACATTCGGTTGTCACAAAGTAGGGAAAACAGATGAACAAAGTAGAAACTCAAAGTGAACGTTTCTATTTCCTAGTTTAAATTACGAAGTGATCTTAGCTAGACCTTCATGAAAACCTGGAAGGACTACCGGACGGCCGTTTCGTCCTAGCATCGGACTCCTAAGCAGCAGTAGACCTAACATACAACTGGAGATATTGGTTAGAATTCGTCCCACTAAAAGAGTTGCGTACGTTTCTCATAACCCTCTAAAGCTTGATTTTATTTTAATTGAAGAATCTCATTCTTCGATCTCATTGGTTGTGTTTGAACCATATCTAGCTTTTCATTGTAGCTGACAATGATAAAGCGACTTATAGATAATACTTAGTACTCGTGGCAAGTTGAAGTATTTCTGCCAACAACTTAACAATAAACGGAAGTTGATTAGCCGTCAAGTTTTCTCCGAGACAAAACATATCAGAACGAACCTAATGTAATTATTATGAGAAGGAAACTGATTTATGTCTAATCTGGAAAGATATGACATGTTAAGAAAGAGGTGACTTGTTAGCTTCAATGGTATCATAGTAGTTGGTAAATTTCAGTTAAGAAAATAAGTAATGTCTAGGGGTATTTTATTAATAATCATCCTATACCCTTAAAAACATGTTGAGGTATCACTTCTTCGAGAAAATACTAAGGATACTAGATTATTTTTAATGATGGATTCGTAGAATTAAGATATGGTCTATATTTTTAGATTATTTAATTAAGCTTGAAGGTCAGAAAATGCACACCAGTGAAGTACACAATAAGGTAAACCAATCGAGCATAAATTTGCCTTCCCTGTAACGTGAAAGTATTACGGTAAAGCTGGTCTCAGTAATGATTAAAGTATACATCAATGCAGGCTACAGACTTTCATCATAGTTGAACTCGTTGACCTGAATGTCTACCCACTTTTCTAAAGTACAATATTATTGGTTTAAAACTCAGAAGATAGTGTGACAGACAGTCACAAAGCATAATTTGGCAAAGAGAACGCATGTACGTGAAAAACATAGAATACTGGGCTGGTATGTCTAGTTAGTATTTTGGGCCTATAGGTTCAGAAGAGAGGATCTATGGCACTGGTATTGATTTATTTCAGGCATACATGTCATAGGTGTCCTCAAACAGGTTTTTTTTTACAGGAATCAAACTTGCGAACCTAACATACACTTCTAGGGCGGTATAAGCATTTCAACATCTGACTGAATCAGTAAAATGCAAAACACTTGGTTAGTGAACAAAATCGGATATTCGATACAAACACAAGACAAAGTGGAACGCCTATATTCAATTTTCAAATTTGATTCCGGTATGCGCTATCAAAATAGGGGAATGACTGTATTCAAACATCTTCCTACGCCTGTTTTGGGGCTAGGAAGAATGATAGGCATGAAAGGTGTTTCGTGGAAGTCTGATAAGTGACGTTACTTGGAGGTCGATATTCATTAATCTCAACGGTACAGTGAACTCAAACCTTATTTCCACTAAACCACCAAACTGCATTTCATTTCACTAGATTGGCATATATATTTTAAGATCGTTAGGTTTGTAATTTTACCAGGTAAAACAACTCAGTGTTGGTGACTAAGGATCTTATATATTTCCTGAACGCGCTGTATCAAATCTGAATTTGTGAGTAATCCTCAATCGCCCGTACCAGTTTAGACAGTCAGTTGCAATACTCCATCATCATACAATTCGTCAACCATAATAAAAATAGGAATATCGCTACCCGACTCTATTGTTGAATTATCTTGTCAGACTACCAAATCTAAACGCTAGGTACTTGAAAGAAACTTAAAAGATTCTATCACAACTTTCTCAGCATTTTGGTTTGGTGAGTACAGACACGAATTGAAGCCAATCATCGATGTGTAACGTTTTGCAAAAGAGCACCAATCCAAAAAAACGAGTTCTATCTACGCTATCGCATTCCTTAATTCTCAAGACTCAGAATTCAAGTTATCATTCGGAGGCCTACATAAGATCTAGTAAAAAAAGCCTACCAGAAGATAAATCCAGTCAGTATCAGTAACATAGGACTATCACGTTTGACTAATACTTTTTCCATCTGAAACTACAACATCTAGTGTTGTATTTTACATAAAAAATCAGTGTTCGATATCCAAGTTGACCGTTAACCTCTCATCATACCCTAATAAATAAAGGGAACAGAAGTAAACATTACAAAACATTGAAATTAATACTCTCATATTCTATAATACGATTAAGTTTATAGAATTTCCTCACGCTAATTCGTCCACATTATACGAGACACTGCAAACGGATCTGTCACCAATCAGTCACCTTCTCATCCCTTTGAAACTGTCTAGATCGACTGATTGGTATTCATTCGTGACTGTTGAATCAATGTTTATCAAAAGTCAAATGAGACTACATGGTGTCGTTACACTTGTGTGGTGAAAAACGTTTCCTGAATAATTCATGTACATTTATCCTACTTTTCGGCAGAGATAATTCCCGAATCGAGTAGCTGTTTATGCGAATAAAAATATATTCTTATGAATTTTAGGAATACTAAAACTATGATAGATCGGCAGATATATTCCAAACTCTAGTAATCCAGAGAATTTGCTAACGTTTGTCCGTACAGCTTATTTGTCACATGTCATTGTAAGCAAACTCCAGAAATTCTACCACAAATCAGCCTCCACAGTAACCTACCACACCATCGGATAGTAGACAGAGGTTAGAAGCAGCCACCAATAAGTACCATTTTAGCTACGTGGCGCCGAAGCGAGAAAAGTAGTTTCCATAGATATAGAGAGTTCATCATTTGCGTGTTGTCTGTGATACTGCCCGGGTGCCCAAACCGAATAATAAATAAATAAATAAATGGCGCCGACAGAAACTAACGATTCCCTGCTGTACATTAAGTATTGAAGAAACCAACTATTGCTGTTCAACGTCCTACAGATGTCATCTTTATAATGTACTGTATCTGACTTTAGAATTACACTTTTGGTGGCCCCAAAATATGTGAGCAATACTTCGAAGATACTAATGATTGAATACCAGTAGTTTACAAATATTCTCTATTTTTAAAGGCCGCGTTTCATAACCACCGAGTAAAACAGATCGTATAGGCGTTGACGCAGACTAGTTCGTTCTAAAGTCACATTAAATATTTAGCGGGAGAAAAGAGCATCTCAAAATTGCTTGCATTTTCACTCAGGGAGAGCAGAAAACCCAGTATATTGTTAGCATCCTTAACAAACAGAACAATGTTATCTGCATGTTCTAAGCTAACAATTGGTTTCCATAATAAAGAATCAATTCCCCAAAAAGTTAGACAACGAGAGGATTATCTCTAAAAGAAAATCTACAGCAAGGTTATATAAAAGTAGGCAACCCTAATGAACACCCGTTGATATTGAATTGGTCTTTTGGTACTGAAAAGATTACAACTATCTTCCCAAATTGCACAACACATCAACAATAATAATTAGAAGTATTCTATAAAACAGTTCAACAGAAAACAAAGTCTTTACACGTCAACCAAACTACGAACGATCAAGCAACATCATACCCTTAAAAATACATAAAATCATAAGCAAAAAATAAAGTATAATCATTAGAAAAACTCTTTATTCTAAGCGTTTTTCGTTCTTCACATTTTTCGAGTTCTATTTGAAAAAAAGGAAATACTTATACATGCATACATAAATATAACCACCTTAAAAAACATAAAGAACAGAGATGATAGATAATGATCAACATGAAAGATATTGTCTATCAGTCTGTTTATTTGTATTTATTTAGAATTCTATAGGCGAAAGAATCAAGTACATTACAGTAGAAAAAGTAGTAATAACAAGTGTCATTAGAAAAGGAACTTAAACAAAGCAAGGCATATTATATGATACAATATAAACACAGATATATATATATATATATATATATATATATATATATATATATATATATATAACCTTGATAATTCTGTTCTGTTATGTGAAATAGGAGTAAAAAACATATCAAGGAACACCGGTGATTCCCATTTAGTCAATAAACAATCAAAGTGATCCTCACGGAGAAAATAGAAGCTCACCTGAATAATAAAGTTCCAAGATACATAAACAGGCGCTCAAGACAGGGTGAAAAAAATTATACAATGGGTATTGTACAGACAAAAAGAAGTCAATGTAAAAAAATAAGCAGTATGTGCGAGAAAATATAACAAGTTATACAACATGAAGCAGAGAACATCGATGTTAGTAATAAGTACTATAAGTAAGAAAATAGAAGACACTTGGTAACCGCTGATGAAGATGGAATGACTAGGAAAAAAGTAGGTGAGATATATGTGTGTGTGTGTCAACAAGGACGTGCTGTTTATTGTAAAAAAATCAAAAGATAAATTCAGGATTAATTTCACAACAAAAGACACACTAGTAAAGAATATTATGTATTAGTATATTTGATCATCAGTAGTAGACTGATCGATAACAATTACAAAGACATCGTGCCTATTGATAGTGTACACTATATCAGTATATATACACAGAACAAGTTAATGACAAATAAATGGTTGTTTTAAAAATAATTGATCATAACCATGTGGACAGGTTAGTCTCATCCTTTCTCTTTTTCTATAATAATAAAAATGTTCAGTTTATCCTTTTCAAAAACCAGGCACTAATGATCACGTAAATAAAGTTTCCTTTTAGTGATGCTAAAGAATGAAAGACACTATATACGCTGGCACGCATACAGGCACACACATACAAACTCGCAAAGAAAGGATCCAATTGAAGAGGAGGGACCACTTTAGAGAATAAAAAATAATCTAGAAATAATAACAAATAAAGAATATGAGCAATCGTAACGAACTGTTGATAAATAACCTATCTATTATCAATTGACTATCAATGTGTGGATAGAATGAAAATTTTGTTGAACTCTTCATTCGGTAAAATACTATTATCCTTGCCTTGCTGTAAAATATATAGGAACAAAACAAAATGGTTACCATTCAAAAAAAAAATTAAACAACTACAATTCTGAAGAGTATAACAATTATATTACAAAAATATTTTTCGTTTTAAAAGAGATAAATTAGAATAATATACAGTGGTGTGAAAAGGAAGAAAGAGTAATGAATTGGATAATGAACATAATGTGTACAGATGGTAAGAAATAAGTGGACTTAATTATTTTTTCTTTCGAAGATGTAAAATGTACACAACAACAGAAGAATAAATTAAAAATCAAAGGAAAAAATTTATGACATAAATATTATCATTATTACTGTTGTGTAATTTATAACAATAATACAAGGAAGTGCAATAAATAACTAATGATAGTAGTTAACACAACAACAAAATTATACACAACAAACATCATCAACATAAATCTATAATAGAAAACCATGATTATTGATAGAAAATTGAAATCCTCTTAATAAACAACAAGAGAGTAAATTAAAATAAATGTATAGAATCAAGGTAAATACACACAAAACACAAATATGACATTCTCTCAAGAAAGGAAATATCAATGAATGGAATGATATTAATTGAACATACACAATTATGTGCAATACACCAAAATGATAGTAGTTACACAGGAGAGTAAACATAATCGTTCAGTGAATAAAATATTACATGGACATATAATGCCTTCGAGAAGAAAAAATTTGGTAAACATGTTTACAAAACAAATTAATCAGTAGTGTAGGCTGTACGTACTTTAACACACAACTTCACATCAGAATAAACAAACAAATATATATATATATATATATATATATATATATATATGGAGGGGGGAATAGGCACTTGTCTATTGTTATCAATAAAGGTGACTTGAAGTTGAAAAGGATAGGGGAGAGAGTAGTGTATGAACATATTATCAACATCAAATTACAAATAAACATTCTATTCTCTTTTTCTTAAAAATAAAATAGAAATTTTTCTAGTTTTCACTATCAAACAAATAGACGAATTTGTAAAAAATATGAAATACATTTTACTCTAGGAATAACAAGTAGATCAAAAGAAAACTGATAGAAAACAAAAGGGATATACATATGTATATATGAGACACTTTGTGAAATGTGTTGTATATTGCTGAATTTGAAAATATCTATTGTCAAGCTTCAAGAATATGGATAATCATCCAGTAGGGGAATCATTTTTCTGATTACGATACGGCACATTGATTATTGAATTATCCTAACAAGTTAACACAGTCGTAGTAAGTGATAAAGGACAAAATAAACTTCTTTAGATCACGATATTTGTGTTTTCTACAGCACACTATTCACATAGTGGTCTCTGTGAAAAGATAAAAGAATCAAGAGAAAAACAGTAAATTGACTTGTAACATGAAGAAATATCATCTACCTACGGCTATACATATACAACCAATATTTGAGAGATTGATCAGAGCCATGTTGTTTGGTAATTATCACTTACGAAGAATGGAATTTGTTATGGATGCAGAATAATGTGCCAATCATTATCATGTTAAGTCTAGTGATGTCCTTGGACGTTAAATGGACATTTCCTATTTGCCATTATTTATTTCATTCGTTAAATATTGTACAAATGTTGTTTTCTATTTTTATGGTACGATGTGGTTTGTTTGTTTGGTATATAAATAGAGTATGTCTGAAATACAATGATTCATATCTTCGAGGCTGTGACTTGTGTTCTGGACTCAACTGACTGGGCTAGACAGGGCAGCGGGACCAATCGAGACTCTAGGCCGTCCGTACGTGTTTATGTGTCATTGAATCGATCGATAAATACGCTGCTGTCTAATTTTTCAGTCAAGGACACAACAATTAGCACAGGGTAAAAATCGACCCAAGTTTAAAGTCATAACAGAATTTCATAGTTCAAGTTAGTTTTCCTGTCATAAGATTAGCAATAAACAAGTAGAGACCATCAATTGTCAGACAGGTATTTGTCACTTTATTCTCTAATGATATGAAACAGACAGTAACATTTAACGTTAACATGATTAGTAGGAACTATTATTCACATTTTGACCAATTTTAGTAATGAGCCTATTTACAAGGAACAGATTTGTGAATTTGGCTTTGAAGTAGATCACCACAAGTGTATTATAAGCTCGTAGTGTTACCCAGTTGTCCCGTATGAAGTAGCTGGAGAGGACACCTAACTTGCAACTTAGTGATCAAAAGTTGAACGTTATGACCACTGAGCCACCGCTCCAAGAGAAGGTATCAAATTCAAAACCATATTTTACCAATCAGATACTGAATAAAGGTAGGGTGTATTGAACTTTTATCTAAGATTTGCTCAAAGGAATAGATGATTGAATTTGAAATGATATAAAGCCATGAGCACAAGTCATCGAACATGTTTTGTCGCAAATGCATTAATTTTCATTGGCCGGTAAGGGCTTGTATCACTGTCAGACTATCGATTACATAAATTCCGCTTACTACTGTAAAGCATCTAAAAATGAGAAATTTTACTTAGTTGAACGATGTAAAACCAAGAATGATATGGTCCACAAATTATTCAATTACCCAAAATATAGATAAGACGTAAACTTCTACACTCAAGTCATGGGTTGATGTATTTATGATTTATTTATTTGAACACATAAACATTGGTACAAGGGACACCAAATACGTATTTGCTACATAATAACAATGAGGTTGTGACGAGATAAGGAATGTAAAGTGCGTATAATAAAAAGAACACCAACGGAAATTAGTGTACGAGAGTGAGATAATAATAATAACAATAGGAAAAACAGTTCAGTTAGCAAAACTAAAACTAGAAAGAATCCTTTCAGTTAAAGTAACGTTCATTTTCTATGAAGAAAGTAAAAGTTACAACTGGATCGCCACTGGTCTATATTCTGAACCATGTCTGATGACGTCTCTAACCACTGTGTTGCACCATCTTTCGGAGGCCAAGCAGTGGAGTCGTGAAGGACGAACAGAAGCCAGTCCTGTACAGCATTCTTTTATACCAGAATACCATGTCATACGCTGACCGATTCTCCGCTTTTTCCAACCGGTCCCAGAGTCGGCAAATAATGCACGACGTTGAATTCTCTGGGACGACCTGCTTGAGCATCTGGGCTACCTGTTCCTGCCATCTAGATATTTCAACAAGTTATCTATTGTTGTTTGTTTTAATATATCATTATGTTTATTAATCGCATAACCTATTCTGCTGCGTTTCTGAAAAGTGTACAACCTTTCGTTGTCAAAGTTACAGAAAACTCAATAAGAGACAATATGGTTGCTGGCAATGTACAACGAAAAGAATGTACATTATTCAGTTGTTCATTCACTGAAGTGCTAACATCTAACTGGCGATTCCTCAATATTTATCGCCAGGACCGACCAAGAAGAAAGAAACGGAAACTTGTTGAAATACTTTGAGCTGAGAATTCTATATTGTACCAAAATTATAATATTGAATAAAGCTAATAATAATAATAATAATAATAATAATAATAATAATAATAATAATAATAATAATAATAATAATAATAATAATAATAATAATAATAATAATAATAATAATAATAATAATAATAATAATAATAATAATAATAATAATAATAATAATAATAATAATAATAATAATAATAATAATAATAATAATAATAATAATAATAATAATAATAATAATAATAATAATAATAATAATAATAATAATAATAATAATAATAATAATAATAATAATAATAATAATAATAATAATAATAATAATAATAATAATAATAATAATAATAATAATAATAATAATAATAATAATAATAATAATAATAATAATAATAATAATAATAATAATAATAATAATAATAATAATAATAATAATAATAATAATAATAATAATAATAATAATAATAATAATAATAATAATAATAATAATAATAATAATAATAATAATAATAATAATAATAATAATAATAATAATAATAATAATAATAATAATAATAATAATAATAATAATAATAATAATAATAATAATAATAATAATAATAATAATAATAATAATAATAATAATAATAATAATAATAATAATAATAATAATAATAATAATAATAATAATAATAATAATAATAATAATAATAATAATAATAATAATAATAATAATAATAATAATAATAATAATAATAATAATAATAATAATAATAATAATAATAATAATAATAATAATAATAATAATAATAATAATAATAATAATAATAATAATAATAATAATAATAATAATAATAATAATAATAATAATAATAATAATAATAATAATAATAATAATAATAATAATAATAATAATAATAATAATAATAATAATAATAATAATAATAATAATAATAATAATAATAATAATAATAATAATAATAATAATAATAATAATAATAATAATAATAATAATAATAATAATAATAATAATAATAATAATAATAATAATAATAATAATAATAATAATAATAATAATAATAATAATAATAATAATAATAATAATAATAATAATAATAATAATAATAATAATAATAATAATAATAATAATAATAATAATAATAATAATAATAATAATAATAATAATAATAATAATAATAATAATAATAATAATAATAATAATAATAATAATAATAATAATAATAATAATAATAATAATAATAATAATAATAATAATAATAATAATAATAATAATAATAATAATAATAATAATAATAATAATAATAATAATAATAATAATAATAATAATAATAATAATAATAATAATAATAATAATAATAATAATAATAATAATAATAATAATAATAATAATAATAATAATAATAATAATAATAATAATAATAATAATAATAATAATAATAATAATAATAATAATAATAATAATAATAATAATAATAATAATAATAATAATAATAATAATAATAATAATAATAATAATAATAATAATAATAATAATAATAATAATAATAATAATAATAATAATAATAATAATAATAATAATAATAATAATAATAATAATAATAATAATAATAATAATAATAATAATAATAATAATAATAATAATAATAATAATAATAATAATAATAATAATAATAATAATAATAATAATAATAATAATAATAATAATAATAATAATAATAATAATAATAATAATAATAATAATAATAATAATAATAATAATAATAATAATAATAATAATAATAATAAAACATGACCAAGCCACCGAAGTCGATGTTTCAGGATGGAATTTGACTCATTGAAAAGAAGTGGTAAACAATTCACGTTACAGGAACAATTTAACCTTTGCCACTGTAACGCAGCACAATAAGGTTATGCAGTCATGGATAAGGATACTATAATTTGATGACCTAACATTCGATTGTTAAAATGAAGGGAAAAAGTGAGGATCAGTATGTGATATGCAATGTTGAGAAGCGACGAAGTGATGGCTATCCACGAGACCGAATTATTGACGTAATCTCTCAATGAACTGATACTGGGAGACAGATGCATTTTAACAGAAAATAAATGCGGTAAGATATTTTAAGACTTCAAAATATTAATTTTGACGTTCAGCTAATGAAGTAACTTAGCCAACCATATAGTATGTACTGTATAAGGTACGGTTGACCTTGAATATCAGGCCTAGTAGTAACAATCGTTACAACAGTCAGTCAGTCAGCTACAACGTAGGACCAGGCACATATGTGCATCGGTCCAGGTTGCCATACCGCATCAGCACAACGAGATGAACACCGGATTCATATAAGTAGTTAATTCAGAGGTGGTTATACATAAAAGAAAGATTGCATATAGAGATATACTACAAGAAGAAAGAATTGCTTCGTAGAAAGAAAGATATGAAGTGATTTTAATCTCTTAGTTTAAGGGAAGACAGAGAGTGTATACACCGACGCCATTGTGATCGACTCTGAGCCATGTCACCAAGAGTCTCCAACCATTGTTTACAATAGTCACGCGGATCCCAACCAAGTAGTCTGCATCTACCAACATGGCTCAGACTAGAAGTTAGTGACTTCAAGCACTGATGCCACGTTTTGGTTTGTCCGCCCCTAACTTTCTTCCAACCATCTCCAATACCGGATAGCATTGCACGTCGTGGTAGTCGGTGTTCAGGCATACGTAACACGTGGCCCAACAATCTCAGTCGATGAAGATTCATAACCTCATCAACTGATTTACCATCATGCTCGAATACCCTGCGTCGAACCTCCCTATTACTTACCCGGTGATCCCAGCAGATGCCAGCAATATTTCTAAGGCATCTGTGGTCAAATACTAATAGCCTACGAGTGTCTTCTACTCTAAGTGACCATGTTTCGCTGCCGTAAAGTAAAACATAACGGACTGCCGCGCAGTATACTCGTCCTTTTATTGATAGACGGATATCTCGCCTTCGCCATAGGTGACGCAAGTTGGCAAAAGCCAAGCGAGCTTTTCGGATCAGTGCAGAAATTTCGTCCGGCACTAACTCAATACGGCTGACCAGGCTTCCAAGATAAGTGAAGTTGTCAACGCGTTCGACTACTTCACTCCCTATCCTTAGTTCAGGTGTTGACGCAGACCAGTCCTGAAGCAACAACTTGCATTTAGAGGGAGAGAAGCGCATTCCAAACATTCTGGCATTGTTGCTTAATGTTACCAAAAGACTCTGCATTTTGTCAGCGTCTTCACCAAACAGGATTATGTCATCTGCGTATTCTAAGTCGATAAGTGGACCTCCTGGATGGGGATCAATACCCGAGAACTCAGTCGACGAGAAAGTTATTTCCATCAGTAGATCTATGATGAAGTTAAATAAAAATGGGGAAAGTGGACAGCCTTGACGGACACCACTTGAGGTTGCAAAAGTAGATGACAGTTCGCCATAAGCTCTGACTCGACTAGTAGTGTTCGAGCGAAGAGCCTTCACAAGGTTTATGTACTTCTGTGGTACGCCTTTCAATGACTGACACTGCCACAGAATCTCGCGGTCTACCGAGTCAAATGCTGCTTTTAAGTCGAGAAAGACCACCATTGTCGGACGCCGATAAGTATGCCTGTGTTCTAGAATCTGACGAATGGTGAATATGTGGTCGGTGCAGCCACGACCAGGTCTAAAGCCAGCTTGGTTCTCTCGTGTTTGCAGTTCACGTGTCTTAGTTAGGCGTTTGATAATTATCGAGGCCAGTACTTTAGATACTATGTTTGTTAAACTAATCCCTCTGTGGTTGTCACAGGATGATTTTGACCCTTTCTTATATATTGGGACGATAAGTGATTGTGACCAGTTAGATGGGATAACGTCCAACTCCCAGATCCTAGCTAAAATATTAGTCAACCTAATCGCTAAAATTGGACCACCATCCTTAAAGACCTCTGAAGCCAGTCCATCTGGACCAGCTGCCCTTCCTCGTTTCAGATTAACTATAGCCTTTTGAACTTCAGCAAGAGTTGGGGGACCTACTTCAATGTTCCATTCATACTGTCTGGGAATGGAGGGTAGTTGTAGAGTAGCTGAAGGCCAGTTGAACTGTTCTCTGAAATGTTCCGCCCATCGTTCTAAACGTCTGGACTGGGAGCAGATGAGAGTATCGTCTTTTTCCGATATAATCTCACTTACATTGACTTATTAATTCCAGTTTCTTTTATTAGTCTGTAAAGCTGTCTTGTGTTCCCTATAGTCGCCGCATTCTCCATCTCTTTTGCTTTCATTGACCACCACTGCTCACGGTCGTTTCTTAGACTTTTTCTTAACCTAGATCTGATTTGTTGTCGCTCTTCATCATGTTCGGAACATCGTTACAACAATGATGATCAAAACAGAAATAATTAAGTCGTAGATCCCATGTTTTCATTCAACCAGTGGCTTTCGACACCTGCCATTATGAAGTTATTCAATACATACACATATACAATGATCTGTGAGCAACAATTACTTATGTGACTATTCACATCAAAATTATGAAAACAAGGCAAACTTCGAAACTTGTAAACGCGTGTATAACTTTGAACCAACAAATTAAGTAGAGAAATTACATAAAATTAACTAGTAGGAAACATGTTAAGGAAATAATAAAAGCTCAGTAGTTAGTATGAGACTATATTCACTATACAAAAGAGCTGGAGGAGGTTACTGGTTGCCCAAACTGAATATGCTAGGGTGGGCGTGAATCTATGATTGATATTCAGAGGTGGAATGATTTAATCACTGGGACGCAGAAGAGACATTATAAAAATTCAAACTGTAACCCATAGTGGACACAATGAAGTTAACCAAACAAAAACAAAATGTCAAAGAAAACTACTCACAGACGATGGATTATCCAACGACGAGTTCACATGATCCACTGAGTCTGAAATGAAATGTGAATTTTGTGGATTGGGTATGAATTGTTGACAGCTATCTGGATGTTGATCAATATTAGCTGGATTAGATTCTGTTGAATAGCCAACTACATTAGTATTGTTGATTCCTTGTGGAATTATAGTGTCTTGTTGATTTCCTGAATAAGATGAATTTTTGTCCACAGACCAATTTCCAATAGCTCCCATGTTCGAATGTCTAATATTTGCTTGGATAGTTGAGTTGGATTGTGAAGTGCAATAACGCCTATCACCAATAAGGTAGTTTTCATGTTGTGACATGTCACGATAAACAGATTGAGATGGTGTATACTGGGAATGAGGTGAAAAAACATGACTTGAACGTGATTGTGAATAACAAGCAGAATTTGAGAAATATTGTGAAGCTGAAGGAGGCTGATTTGAAAAATAAGATCCATGATTTTGTATACGGTTTGATGAATTTATACACGAATTGGAATCTTCTGATCTAACACGTGAAATGGAATGTATGGGTGGTTGCCTAACTGGATACATCGGGGATGTCATTTGCAGATTATGAGTATAGTTTGACGAAGGATATGAACTATAAGGATTAAATAAATGTTGTTCTTGAGTAGGCCAACGTTTACTAACCGGCTGTTGCTAAGATAAATACAACACAGGAGAATAAAAAATAAGCATTATACATATATTCTATTCAGAAAAAATCATTTGAAAACAAAAGACTTTTCTTACATGTGTGAGTTAAACATCAAGATAAAATTAGACAGACTCGTCATAAAAACTGAAGTAGTTAGGATGGTGTTTAACCAGAGAATTACTAACCTGAAGTTAAGGGTTTAAAATATCAAATCACCCACATTGGTTGTAATATGAACTCGTCAGTTGATTATAAAATCCATTCTTGACGAGAAAAACAGATTAAACACTCACATAATTAATATTAAAATGAGCAGAGAACCAATTAGAAAATTTCTAAAACTGGTTACCTATTAGTAGAGAATTTAATTGTGTCTCTTGTTATAATAATTCGTCGAATTTGCGATCCTGATAAGTATGCATGGAGAATTAACTCGTATGTAAAAATATTTACCAGAAATGAGTATTCGCAAAGATTCGCTAACAAGAATATAGAGCATAAATCACCAAAAGAATCGATAATCTCTATCAGTGGATCACGACTATGTGCATGGGGCCCGTAAGATGTTGGAACTCAGTGGTTTGAGACTATCAGATACGAGTCAGATTACAAGCCGCTACCAATTTTGCTGTAATATTCCACTACATTCTTTATAAAAATAAAATAGATTCATTTAGTTGAAAGAGGTCTTTCTTGACTTTAGTTTCTAACTAAACTACTTATCACATGTGATATTATTATTCTTTATTTATTAGTTATATGATACTTCTGTCTTCGTTTTTTTCGTAGCATTATCTGCACTAAGAAGGACCTGACATACATGACAGTGATCAATGAATTGTAAATATATCTCACTCCTACAAGAGGTCAGTGGCGGCCTGGATAGCTTAGTGGTAACGTCTCTAACTGTGAAGCTGGGTGACACGGGACCGAGTCTCTTAGGGAGCATCAGTTCCCTCAAGATTACAGGTACACCTTGCTGACGAGTGCCAGGTAGCACGAAACTTAGGTAGAGGGTTTCCTGTTGACTACCTCTGACAATCATCTTATCACAGCATTATGAATCTATTTATGAAGCGCATTTTTTGGTGCCCCAATTGTACCAAACTTTGTATGTGATATAAATAAAATACAAGATAATTCACGTACATGAAATCAACTTCGAAGTTAGTGTTCTCTAATCAACCCATGTTCTGTAACGAATCAAGCTCTCAAATTAGACTACTTAAATGTCAGTCAATCATACGTACGAGTGAACCTGGCGTGTATATGTATCGTTTGAAGTTGCAACATAACATCAGCATAGCGAAAGGCATAGTAATATGATTAGTAACAGTATCAATGGTCATAGAAAAGATTAGGTGTAGATAAAATTCGAGAAAATATACGTTTGTGGTTATCATAATTGCGCAAACCCCTATCAGGTAGTCGGTGCCTCCTTACATAGTTCAGTTCAACAATAAGTGACTTTATGAACTGACGTTTTGGTCTTGGTGTTTTTAACTTTCCACTAACTTACATCTACACCAGTCATTATTGAGGTTCTAGGAAGCTAGGTATTTTGGCCGTTCAATACGTGTTCTGTTTACGAGGGTCCGAGAATATTGACCAATATGGTTGAAAGGCTATGGATCCATAAGTCATTATTACTTTTCGAAATAACTGACCATCGTGCATATAAATTGATAAGGTGTCCAAAACACTGACATTCCTTACACCAAAGGGAAACCGACAGAGTAAATAGCACTTTATGTACGGTATAACCGTACAAAACTCAAAGATATACAGTGTTTCACAATCGGTTAACATAACAAATTGCTTGGAGTCATTTAAATGCAAATGAAACAAAATATATTCTCTCATTTAAGTACAAACAAACATGATTGAGCGCAGAATATTTCAAGATAGAAGCATAAGAAACATTTAACCACGTATTATACTAATAATGACATGCGATTCTTGCTATAAATAAGTTCACGTACAGTTTACATAGACGGAATGTAGCTAGCGGTAAAATCCAGGATGAGCATTCCCTTCTATTTGGGCCTTATAGACCGGATGTACTAGCATCTTCGAGATTCAAACACAATACCTTTCGCCTCAAATGCCAAGGCGTTGTTCACTTAGCTACTGAATCCATATAGCCACTCACTAAGACTGATCAAAAAGTCAATCAAAATATCAACAACAATAGGATGATCCAAACCATTAAAAATTAATTTTACTTACAGTTGTTTGAAAAGTTCTATCACAAGGGAGATTATCTGTATCTGGAAAGTTAACATATTTTGGAGTAGGACAAGTGGAATTCTGAATAGATAATTGATCCGAATGTCGAAGATTATGCGTAGATTTATTTTCATTATCACTAAGTATAGAGTCAGTAACTCGCGTTGATATTGAGCTGTTTTGTGAATAAGGCATTGAATTTTCAAAAGGATATGATTCATGTGTATTAAAAACTATATTGCGGCATGATATAGGAGGATTGTTAGGCATTTGTTCGTAGAAGTCTGTTTGTATGTAGAAGAAATTTAAAACATGTTGATAAATTAAAATGCTGAACTAAACTAAACAACTGCAAAAGATGATTTTCTTAAGTTGAAATAAACTTCATCCGAGTTATTTTTCAACTATTTTCTATTAAAAGACTAATATATAAACGAAGAATATCATTTTCAATAAATTCTCTTTAGGTTCAACAATTATATATCCAAATTAATAATCTGAAAAGTAGTCAGGTTTAGAGTAAAGTGCATTGTTTAAAGTTATAGGATTTGAATTTAGGTTTGTTAATGTTAAGATGATTCATATGGAACGTTAACTTGAATCAGTTTATATGTTAAGTGAAATTGTAAGGTTCATGATCAGAAAATAATATAGGTCAGATAAAATGAAAGAAATAATACTACAATTATAAATTCGATTAAATGTTCAGTCGAAGACTATAATGTGTAAAAAGTTAGTAAAATATAAGAAAGCGAGATGAATGCGAAGTGAATGTATCATGTACTCGAGAGACTAATAATGATGTTAAACCAATAATAATAGTAATACGAAGATATGTGAATAAAGATAAGAGACAATTATATTTATTAGAATGGGTGTTTGTGGAGATTGCAGTGATTTTAGTAGTTGAATTCATGGGTCGATGTAAGCGGGAAGCCGTGATCAGTGGAATCTAATCCGTATCAGGCGTGAGACAGTCATCCAACTTAGATAATGAAGGGTTGTACAAGATCACGGATCAATCGAAGTTAGATATTAACACCGTTGAATGCCTCCTTAGTAGTTGAGGTTAAGCGTTCGCGCGCGAGAACGAAGGCCCTGAGCTCGAGTCCCGCATGCGGGATCATGGATACGCACTGCTGGAGTTCCATACTAGGAAGAAAGGGCCGTTTAGCGTTTTCACGTTTTCAATGGTGGTCTAGCTTACATCGACTCATGGATTCAACTATTAAAATCACAATTATATTTGATTAAGGAAAGTCGTAAGTACATTAGTCAAATTAGGTCATTCAGTAGCTAACATTACTATTGATTAATTGGCCCTGCGGTTGACCAGGGCAAGAGAAGCAGTTGGAGATATTTCTTTCGTACACATATTTTCGGTTTCTTAATTCGAATGGTTACTGTTTTCGTCGTTTGAAGGATTATGAGTCTGACAAGCTTCGGCAAAAAATTACTAACCCGATAAATAATTGAAAAGGCTTGGCATACACTAGAACTATGACCTGTTTAAATCAAATGGGCCAACATTGAGCTGTTCACTTTCTCTACAAGACATTAGCCTGGCCACTCTGGGAGGCGTTCGCAAGCACGAAAATGTAAATTCCTACAACTTCGACCAATATAACTTTCTCTACAAGAGCAGTCGAACTGATAAGAAACCGGGTGGTTGTTCTAGGTAATTCGTCCTTTAGCCTCGGTGTCACCATTGGGCGCGTAGGAAACACTAGTCGTAGTTCTCTGGCGTTCAGTGATTTTTGGATTTTACTGCGTAATCTCTGGATTAATATTACGCTAGCTGCATCACCCCCGAATTGTAGGCACATAAACAGGGTTTTCGTACTCATCATTTGTATTTCGCCTATTCTAACCTTCGTGACCATATATTTGTTTATAAACTTTACAGGGTATCCGTTCTTCCCAAGCGTACTGCGCAAGGAGTTTAGCTATTCTTCAACTATATACGTAGAACACATAGTGCGTATTCGATAACTAAGAGTTTTGGTCAGGTTTCTTTAGTAATGTAGAGGTACAAAGCTAAAAAAATGTGTGTACTGTACCGTCCAGGTATTTTTCCACTTTAAATTCCTTCTTACTGATTCATCAGCACTCATAGTTTCTATTATCCTTTGACAGTATCAACAAAAGTCTCCAACTACTGACTACAAACGGTAGATTCGATTTTTGAAAATGAATACAAAGTCAATCATAGTAATCAACCATGTAAACTATATCCAAAGCAAAGGTGATGATTAAGTGATTTCATTTCAAAAATGTTTTAGTTGATGTGTAACTTTATTTGTCAAGTACAGGTTTGTGTAATTGGGGCTTTAGGTACATACTATATGTGAGGAATGGTAATACTAATCGATGGACCATATCGTATTTTAGGTGGAGTATGCTACTTCGAAATCTCCAAGTAAACTGGGATGATTTTAATTGTACTCATATACGAGCAAAAGACCTGCCGGGATACATTACAGTGAAATCGATAAAATAACATTTCTCGCAACAAACTGTGGTCCTTGATAATTACAAAATGTGCTCGACATAAATATATGACTGGGAAATTAAAAAACTGGATTGTTTGTCAGTCTTGAGCTATAGAATTAAGTTACCTGAAAATGAACAACTAATAGCCATATGGTTTAAAAAATAGTTGGCCAGGCACATATACGTATCGGTCCAAGTTGCCATACTTTATTAGCACTACAAGATGAACATCAAATTCATTGAAGCAGTTAGTTTAATGGTAATAGTATATAAAAAATGTTTGAGTAATAAGTATGGTGTAAATCACATTCAATGCGTGGGAGTTGGTCCATCTTCTAAGGGCTCTAACAATAAGTAGGTGACGTTCGTCTAAGCATGACCTAGTCATTGGACCACCACTCTTCTGAAGTGAATATATGAGTGAAATGTAAGAACTTTAATCAGTAAACGGCGTTGAAGTACAAATGCAACCCAAGGTAAGACCAAAAGTATGCTTAGGATAATAGCCGGAAATTGTACGGAAAAAACCATTTGTCATACTTAGTACCAATAGTTTTAGTTTGGCTAGTATATCTGACACATAAATAACAAACTAAGAAATGTGAGTGCTTCATTCAATTCAATCAGTCCCAATTATTATAACATTAATTTATATGGTACAAATCTTTTTACCCTAACTAGCACTAATGAAGGTCGGTCATAGGAATCAACTGTTGTAAGACTTGTGGAATAACTGAGTTTACTTCGACTTGAAGTAGGCACTGGAAATGTCTAGTGACAATGGAAGCTCTGCAGTCAAATTATTTAGCTAAGAGAACACTACGCCACCAAAAGCATTCATACCTGAGTTGAAAATCTTCTTTGTGGGATAAAATAGGTTTTGACAACTTGATCATCTATCAAGTTATCTAGAATAACAGAATAGCCTCTAAAATTGTTCAAAAAGTATGCAGATTTGTAAGAACGGATCGCCCAACAATTCACACAAGGAAAAATAAAGAACAAACAATTGATTTGCAGAGGTCTTCGAATGCTCGGAATAACCTATAAGGTTACTGATTTTAGTACGTAGCCTCTTAAGAATACTAAGTTACCCTCGTGAAGTTTGTGAGGGTAGGTGTGTGTCAAACGTTTAGTCTCTAGATCATATTAGTGAAAAATAATCAGCACAATGACTTAGAAGCATTCGGTCACTGTACATAATTTAAGTACTGAACAATTTATCACTCTGAAATCATATTCCCAACTTACTTTTTTGATAAATTTCGTAATGTACTACTTTTGAAATCTCCTACATCTATTATCTGAAGCCTACTTCGTTCACGCAACCTAGAGGTAATTCTTGAGCGCATTAAGAACTGACTGGCTATCGATCGTAATTTTTAAGAATCAGTCGGATAAACAGCAAATTGTCACGTTTTATTATTACTCAAAAAAATAAAATAACGTGTCATTTGTTTTAATGATTGAAATTTCTGACAAGTACGTTAATGATTGGATTGGTTCACTTTAGGCAAACTATACAGACTGTTCAAAACATGAGAAAATAATTATTGAATACTTACACTTAATAGACTGTCGTCCTACTCCGAAGTCGGAGACATTAGGTGATACAGAACTACTATTCACATCGATTTGTCATTTTTGTTTAATGGTGGTGATACGATGCTTAAGGATTTGACTTAAGAGTTAGGACTTGATTAATGAGAGAATAAGCGATCTACAAACTGATTTCTTCCAATTATCAACTTGATATATTATCATGTTCATATTCTGCATGTGAGCATGTTATTTTATTATACGGAAAACGTATTCACCTGGTTAAGTGATCTTGTCTATGATTCCTAATCATTCAGGGGCTTAGTTTAATAATACAGTCTTGTGAGTATCTATCACCCGGTTGCATAATATTGTTGAGTTGGTCTATTGATTAGCATTCTACTCATTGATTTTAGCAATTGGAACTTTAATCTGATCAATGACCAAAAGCGTCCTCGTAACTGTTGGCTTTCATTTTAATTACAGTTTTTAACTTGTTTAGTAATTTTCCAAGAAAGAAGTGAAATAAAACAGTGTAATCTACTCTAAAGTCCAAATATTCTTTTTTATTTCTCTAAATACTAAAGAAATGCCTTTAAAATTAAATTCCATCCGACATTAACCTAAACTTAAATCACACCCAAATTTTAAAGGTTACATTTGTTATCGAATTGCTCCCTGCCATAAATATCCTTATAATCCATTTCAACACTGTTTCTTTCCTCGTTTTTCTGCAGTACCTATTTTGATATCTTGAAAAACGTCATTAACACTCTCCTCACCAATTAAACACGACTCTTCAATCACTAAAACGAAACTGTTAATGGTTAAATATTGAAGCCGAAATGTGGAACGAGTAGACTGATACTGGCTAAACAGTTAGTTCAGAGTGAAGAGGGACGAAGGTGGAGCTGACCAATTGGTTAAATGAAAATGTTATAAAATTAGTATAGTAATTTGAAATAAAAAACAAGATGCTATTAAGATGTGCTTGTACATAGTTGAGAAAATTTCAGATGTTACATATAGAACGACAGTAGATGACTGTCAATTATTGTTGCGCCTTAGTCTGGAGTTTCTTTTTGTCTCTGTTGTGTGAGTGGAGATAGATTATTATATTATTCCGGTGTTATTATTACGATGTGAAAAGTTTGTTGCATTACAGCACCAACAATTAAACTACACTGAGACAAATAATACACACGTATGATCGTAAAAACTTTTTTTTTCGCTACACACTGAATTTAACAAAACTTCATCTGTGTTCATATTAAATAGAAGCAAAACGCTGAAAAAAAACCGATGACCAAAACAAATATAGTCTATTTATTTCAGGGTTCTTGTCGTAGTGCCGATAGTTAATTAAACGTAATATCATGTAAGTGTTTATGTAATATTCAACAACATACTGAAATAATTATCGATAACTTGTTAAATGAATAAAAATGTAGTTTTGTTATTCTTTACTGATAATTAGAAATGGATATCTAGAAATATTTTAAGCAATCAACATACCTGTACGATACTTAGCATTTGGCTGCCAGTAAACCTGCTCCTGAGGGTTGGGTGGATAGTTCTTGAACGGTGTTAGTCGTACATCAGTCTCATTATGTCTATAGTTCTGATATTTTGGCTGAACGTAGGAGGAATGATAAGTTGGCTCTGAATGTAAGGATGATGGATTAAATGAATACTGACACATCTGTTGAGCTTCATTTTGCTGACAACTGAACATTGTTTGATTGGACGTTAAATCACTTGACACATAAGAATTATGACTTGAGTAAAATGGGACAGAACTTTGTTGATTCATTGACTGATCACCTGAAAATCTGTACATAGAAGAGATTTGGTTGGAAGCACTATGATCCTGTGAATATTGTAGACGGGGATTTTCAGAATTATAAGTAGGAGATTGGGAATTTTGAACGAAGTTAGTACCTAAAATGAGGAAGATGGCTTTCAAACTTTGGGATTTCAAGAACTATTGGATAAACTGTGTAATTAATTATAACTTAATTCAATCTAATAAAAACGTTAAGCTGCAGCATTTAACTTGTAGCTGTATTTATTTTTTAAGGGATACCCGCATTAATTAGATACCAAAACCATATTGATTGAAGCTCGATCTAAGCCTGAGACTCAGTGCATAAGGGATCAAGTATTTAAATCACTGAATCACAACTCCACTGTATGATGCAACGAAAAATATTATATATTTTATACAATATAGTCTCAAGAGTCGCGAAACTGAAGGATGATCAGATGTGTTCAAAAATGTTCTTATTATTATTATTACCACCGACTACGCTAAAAATACCATTCCCCATCGTGAATGGGGTTATTTAAAACAATGATTTGTACAGAGTATGAAAACACTGAGACCCATGAACCGGTTCTACTTTAAAAATAGCACTTATGTGACACTAGGGAGCTACCAACTCTGTGAGCGCTTATTTGCAGTATGTACATCGCTACCGATAGCTCGAAAAAAAAACAATACTACAGTATGACATGAAGTCTTCCTGAAAAGTACCAACTGCTACTCTTAGAAAATCCTGTAGAAACAGTGATTTTTACTTGGCGTGTATAGGAACGACGTGACTTTTCTCAGACAAAACAATGAGACTTGGTTCTAAAGAGCATAAACATACGTGGTTTCTACCTTTCAAGGACGAAACTAGAAAATAGTAATGACTAGCCTACCTGGGTTCTACGTCGTCTAGAGTTTTAACAGCCTACGTTTCAAGTCAAGAAACAGATTGAGTAAAATAGACTGATCAAAGATAATAACACAGTGTGAACCGCGACACTACAATAAGTTGTGTTAGAAGATAGTACATAGCAAATGACTTTTTTCAATAACATTTATGTAACGGATGAATTGAGTGTACAAGCAGCACAGGTTACCAACTTAGGTCCGCTGTAATGAAGTGACATGTTCTAAATTACCATATTTTATTTGTTAAAGCTGTACATTATGCCAACCTTTATCGCACTGATTGTCTAATTGGTTCATTTGACTCTAAACAGCATAGTCCTCCTTTCATAGGATCGATAATTTCCTACCCACTCAAAAAACATTTGTCTCTTAGTGTTTTTTTTCTTAAATTTGCACTTTATTCCCTCGTATTCCACAATGATTGTTTTCTAAACATCAGCTGATATCATACGACCTAACATTTGACACATATTTCTCTTATACATTGATTATTTAAACGCATTTAGTTAAGTGGTTAATGAAGGCATTGATTAATTTAAGGGGAGTTTTCATCATACATCAGTATCAACTGTAAAGATGGGAATTAAGAGCTAAAAATGATATAGAAATTTATTATGTCTTATATATCCAACACAGCTACTTATGCCAGTATTTTAGTGCTACGACGACAACTGCTTAGATAGTACATTTCATATTCCGGTTGTTGGCTTCTACAGAAATGTCTTAAAATCCAGTGTTGGGTGAGTGTGTTGTCAATATTATGCGTATATTCTTTTGAGATGATTTTAAAGATTCTCCCCCGAATGTCTTGCACTTTTCTCCATTGAGAATTATGAGAACTTTAGATCCTAAATCATGAAGTTACTCGTACATAATTTCCCCGACAGACAACTATATCTTATCAGCACTAAATTCAAACACGAGGAACGATCATGTCGAACTTAGAGCTCATTGATACCAACCTAATGACGAATGCAGATAGATTAGTGCTACTAATTATTGGTGTACAATGTTATATTTAAGGAGCATCTGACTTTCCAAAATTGGAATTAAGTCATTCACTAGGTGCTTAGGTATAAGCCACACTTTGAGTGTGAGGCTAATAGCATTACTCAGTTGCCCAGACCGAAGTAAGCGGAGTGTCTTAACCACTTGGCCACTTTATTATGATGGTTGTGCAGTTTTGTATTCATGTTTGCAAAAATGAAATGAATAATGAAGCCCGTTCGTTGACTACAAGTTATGCATTCAGCTTTGAGTCACATGGCTTGTGTAGGAGCTAGTGATACTACTAGAATAAGTAAATGAAAGAATGCGAGACAGGATTCGAACACACTATCTACTGAAAATCAAATGTATTGACTACCACGCAATTGCAAGCATCCGTACATGAATAACCATGAGAAGCGGATGGCTGATAGTTTTTTTTTACTGATTCAGGTATGAAATATTCAACTATAAACTATGGGAATCAGTCAAACGGTTAGTAACGCAAGAGGAAGACTGCTATGTTGATGTAGTTCTGAGAGGTATTCAGTCTGATGTAACGAAATGTGAGTTTATGTGAAGTAATGGGTATTGCTTAGATTACTTGCTGACCAGCTGCCTGAAACGTATAGAGTTTAGACACAAAAACTAGTTTATTGTATAATGGTCAAACTATTGAATCGCAAAGGTTTAAACTTGAAATCTATATAAATATTGATTATACTATAATTTAGTTTTATCTGCAATAAAACGTTACATACTATTCCCGAACAAATCTTCAATAGTTGTTTGTCATTTGCTGTCCTGGAGTACTTTTTTTATTCTGAATATCTTTTATGTTACTTTGTGTGATTTGGTTAAAATAGTGGTACCATTTCATAACAGCAACTGTTATCGAACAAATAATCCTGTCTTTTTAAGGTATAAAACATAATGAATAATAAATCCGCTAGTTTATCCAAAAGATGTAACATGTACGCACTAGTATTTTGCGTGATAATGACAGTTACCGACTCAACTAGGACTCACCACTGAGTTATTATCATCGACTACCTGTGGTATGCTTGAAATGCTATTTTCATGCGGTTCTGTACTCTGTCTTATAATCTCATTGACATTACTCGCAAAACTTTTCGGTCATAGAGAGCTCTATAATTTTCAGGAAGACTTAACTTGTAGGAAGTTGGGATTCCAGTCACTAAATGGAATTTTAAAAAATACCGATAGTATACTAGACCAAATAGAAAAAATATAAGAGAATATATATAAAATTATACTGAAGCTGAAACAAATAACGTACTATGAGGATAAGATGAATGACCATGAAAAAGTTGACTGGCATTGTTTAAGCGAACATTCTTATTTGACTTTAAAGGTAATGTATGATGTGATCCGACGACTGATGACATTTGTGGAGTGACTGGCATGCCATCAACGGTAATAGCTGCACAGTGGAGAGTATTGGAACATTTGCTTGACAGTTGGTCATGAGAATCATGATCAGAGAACTGTTCATTGATAATTTGCTCTGTAACCTGATTATCAAAAATACTAGGAGTTGAGTGATTTGTTCCAGAAGGCTGGTTAGATGGATATGAAGACGAAGACGGAGAAGAAACTTTTAAAGGAGTTGTAGCTTCTTGCTGACCCCATGTGGAAGCATTAGTAGGACCAACACTGCAACTGCTGCTACTGCTCCAACATTCATGCCCAGAGTCAGTGCTTGGTAGTGACGATGTGCTTGTTAGCTTACATCCAGTTATTCCAGTGGGAGATTTCGACTCAGAAATAGCTTCTTTGACAGTGACTAAAACAAGCTCTGAAGAATCAAGACCCTTAGGTGTTGAAGATGTCAGCATGGGCATGTCACGTTCGAGGATTTCTTGTAAATCGGATAAGAATGCATCAGTCTCTGAGAGCATGTTGCTAGTATGTACAATGTTGATTGACATATTTGCTCCAGATACAGAACTTTTTACATTATTGGACAGAACTTTGGAATTCAAAGGAGAGATTTGAGAGGTATTGACAGTTGCAGTAGACAATGTGGATGTTTCAACTCTAACTTCATCATCTTTATTTGGTTCAATTGGTTCACACAGAATCTGGTCCAAAACTATATTCGGAGCACTTGTCGAATCTAAAAGCTGTTCAACTACATCAGGTTCAGTCATACGATTAGTAGATGGGTCATTTGAACTAAAAGACAGTGATTTTACATTAGAATAGACGGCATTTTGTGAGAAGAATTCCTGCTGTTTCTGCAGAGACTCGCTATTCACAATTTCACATGATAACTGAAGATCATTGTCCAATGTATTTGGATCACGTTGGTGATAATGAGCTGACTGGTTTGATACGGACAGAGGGTATGGAGACTGGATATGAAAATCGCTCGAAGGGTTAATTGAACGCGCTTTGTTCACAGATACACGTTGTTCATTATGGAACGGCATATTACTACTAGACGTATTTCCAAAGGGTCTATTGATTTGACTTGACATACGGATATATGAATGAGGTTTCTGCTCGAAGCTTTTAGAGGCTGTGTGACTGAATAACATACTATCAGTGTCTTCCGAGACACAACAATCTCCAGATGGATGTGAAAAACCTGACATCGGAAAGGAATATACATCACTCCCACGGCAGCTAGGATCGTGGTACGAGTTGTCACTAGCATAAGAAGGATCCAAAGGGACATAATTATTCATCTGAGAATTGTAACATTGCCGTTTTAATGGTTGACTGTCGGATAATTTTGGTACATTGAGTGAAAGACCTTCCTGTCTACCATACATCATTACAGGTTGGACAGAATTATACGGCTCATGATTAAGCCGATTTTGGTCCAACATTTTGTACAGTGATAGCTTTTTATCTAAAAAGGAAAACATACGTAAGTACAATAACGAATCAGATGCACAGAGTCTACAAAAATTTAATACACCTCAAAATACATGATATTAGTTTTGGTGAAGACGAAGTATACTTAATGAGGCTAGACTACTGAACGATTAACAATTTCATCACAGAAATATAGAGATGTACTCTGGACTCATATACCTCTGAAAAAAGCGATGATCAAATGACTGGTGCCAAAAAATAAGATTATCAAATGCTTTTTTCAAGAGCATACGATGCTCTACAAAAGTCGGATACGTATTTCAACTGAAATATTTGTTTTATTTTTCAGTGTGGACCATCAATTTAATTCCGTGTCGAAATTTTACTTGATACCATAATTTGGAGAAAAAACAAGAACACTGAGTAGAATCGCATCAACTGATGGTTAGAAGACTACGAGAAATACACAGGCAGCTTAGCATTGGCTAAACAGCATAACTCGGGGTAACAGGATACCCCAAGACCGAGTTAAAAGTACGTGATCGACTAGCTGCAACTGAAGTATGTCAAAGATTGAAGACATGGTAACAGGTAGTTTTTTTATAGTTGTCTTCGAGGTATAATTTTATTCAGCTACAATTATCAAGGTAAGATGACTGAGATTTATATTTCTAGTCAACACTTCAGGATGATATACACATAGAAAAACTAGTAACAAAAATTGTTCCAAACTATGGAACTACAACTCAGCTTTTAAAGTAACCAGCTTTATATGATTGGGAAGCAAATTTGAAACTCACTCCATTTATTTTAATGTCGTAGACGACTCAAAACCCTAAAACACTAACCTGCGAGAAGGTACTAAGTTGGTTAAAACTAAACTAATACAGTGGTTGGTTAGTTGTTGAACCACTCATCTTTGAAACAATATCCCAGGTTTAAACCTCACATTACATACTTGAATCAAGTATAATTAGTCACAATGTGGCTTAAGAGCGTGAACATAGATCGACTTATCAGGTTTTACTAAGTTTAACTGAGTTACAAACGTTTATTTTAGTAATTGGATTTTTATGGTATAATTCACTAGATCATCGTCCCAATTAAGTTTACAGAGAAGATATACACTGATTTACGATAAGTTGGCAATCTTAGTAACACGCTTTGCCTCAACATGCCGTGTTAGTTCATTGGACTATAATAAATAAGAACTGGTTCAAGGTCTAATACAAGGTTATAGGTATAGTTGACGGGCTATATCATACAGTTGTATTGTGTCAGGTAGCAATAAAAGCAGTCAAAAACATATCAAAGAGGTACATATCCAGGTATGTGACATTTTCAAGACATTCATGTGACTTAAAATCTGTAGTACATAGCCACCCACTTCAAACACATGTACTCTTTAGGGTAAACTAAATCCCAGGAATATGAGCTTAAAACAATTAAAGTCGGTGAAATTTACATAGTCACATAGTCACGTTGTGTTTCATGATGAGGTTGTTAGGTTACTGGCCACATGATAAAGGAATCTTAATTCAGTAAGTGTGAGCGATGTAGGAAAGCGTAGTTACCTGACCAAAGTTCATCGATGTTACCATTGTTCCAGATACAGTATTGGTTTATCTTCTAAACTCTGGAAATCATGTTCCAAACCTTCCTTACTGTTTTTATCAAATTTATTTACATTTTAGCAGACTAAAAGTCTAAAATTGCATGAATTGAACAGATTTCCCGTAAAGCTCTGAAAATGAACCTTAATGGGACCATAATTTACAGGCTACCTTTGAGCGACTCTCAAGTGAACTCGAAACAATTCACCTACTGTGTCAAATGTTATAAATTAATATGAATTAGGACTACGATTTTGAATCAGATTTTAAGGTTATGAATTTAAGTAAATGTTTTCATCACTAACGGACATCAGCTATAATCCCAAAGTGCTATTTAGTCATATGGGTGAATGAACGCGCCCAAATTCACGACTTCCATCCATAATTTGCATTGGTTTGTCCATAAATTTTAGTCTCGCTATCAGCACCAGATGTACAAAAATTTTTCTGAAGTATGAAGATGTAACCTGGTAAAGCATATCCCCTAGGATTACTTTTGTTAGAGTAGTAAAGTTGCCTTATCGATTTATTATCGTTCCTCGGTATGCCAACATAGAAATCAGAATGAATTGTTTTTTACTGAAAGTTAAATTAGATGGGTTATAATTACTACCCTTTACAACTGTACATAAATATGACATTCCATTTACGGATGAAGCTTTACTGTGATTCATAGAAAGTTAGTCCTAAATGAATTTCATCAAAACAGCACAAAGTAATCGTAGACTGATACCCTAGTAATAACATACGCACCATGAAACTAACTCGCATTTGATTTTGACAAACAGATATTAAGTATTCAGACAAGCAGCACGGTGCCATATTACTAGATATAACATAGTGGGCTCTACGTTGTACATGACTGACTGGCTGACATGAGTCATTACTTACAAACTCAATTTAATAGCTTTAGGAATAATAACCAAGAATATGCGAATATAGTCGAAGACGAGCATAAATGTCTGACTTACCACTGTGAAACTCGGTAATATGGCGTTTGAGGTGCATACGACGTAGCCCACAAAATGAGCACCCTTCAAGTGGACATTTGAATCTCTTTATATCCCGATGTGAATCCTTTATGTGATTTGATAGATATTTAACAGACTGGAATGCCTGATCACAACCTGAAATTTCACATCGATAGGATTTAGAGGCATCATTAGGGACTAAAAATAAGCATTATGAAACGGCAACTTACTCATTACTGTCCCTGAATTACCAACATGATCGCTTTCATAATGCTTGTTCGCCATTCTAGAGCCATAATTTGATGATATTTGACGCGAAACAATATGAGGTTCTAAAAGATCAAACAATTCACTCGAAATTTACCTAGGTTTGGAGCTGGAAAACCCGTGGATTGCTCAACATTTGAAAAGATTGGGAAGTCTTTGGAATCAGTTGTACCAGACATGGTACAACAGGCATTTGGCTCAGCTTTGGTACATGGAATCCAAACGCGAGAGTTAATAAAATCCAACTTCAAGTCATCAGAAGCGACTGAATCACACGGGGCGGAACCCATTTCAGGAAAAACAGTCATGTTGTTTGTTGAGAGTGCTTCATGATCACGATGAGTTGCTTCCATATGTTTGATCACGTTACGATGGTACTGGCTTGAATACACACAGTGGTTGCACTTATATCGCTTCGAAGTAAACGCTCCTGTTGTATGCTTACGCATATGATTTCTTAAAGAAGCAACATGACGATATTGTTTACCACATAGACTGCAATGATGAGCAGCAGAAGGAGAGGAAGGGCCCGATCCTTTCAAAAGGCCAGGTCGACGACAAACAGGACTGGAATTCGGAGATACTTTTTCCGTTTCTTTTAATATTTGAGAATCGACTTCAGATGTTTCGCGATGATTCAAAGAATCTACAGAAGGCATAACCGTGGGAGTTGAAAACATACATGAAGGTTCTGTAAGTGGGGCGAAAGAACCAACCTCAAGATTAGGGAAATCAGAGCGTAAGGTTAGGGAGTCATTAGTTTTATTAGAAGATTGGAATAGGCCAAATGAGTTTAAAGGCCCTGTATCTCTAAAATGGCAGTGGATAGCCGTACTTATAGGTGAATGTTCGGGTACTTCCTGAGTTGTCAAACGTCGCTTAATAAATGGTTCCGTAGGGGTCAAACTTCTGGAATACTTAAGAGCGTTGTGTCTGTCAACAGTTTTTGCAACTCCCTCGCAAGACTGATAAGCTGGCTCGTCGCATTTCATGGTGCCAAAAACGTCACGTTCATCATACATTACTTTCAGTGTACTCTGAGATGGCTTGGTGACACCAGCGGTTATGCTAGATTTATACCTTGGTGTTCCAGATGTTGTCACATTTATTCCAGATGAACAAAAATTAGTCTCCCACGGTTCATGGCATTCCGAATCAACACAAGAACCTCCATCTACCTAAAAGCGACCGTGTACAAAGTCTCAGCAAACTTACTTCAAATTGATTGGAGGAATCAGCAACATAATGCTCTTTCCTATGAAGGTCTTCACATGTGTTTGAGAACAACTCATTTATTTCTTGCATACCATTATCTTTAAAACAATTAAGTAAGTAAAAGATTTACCATTATGTTCATCGAGTCCTAACAGAATAGGGTCGACCGTCGGTTTATCCATAAGAAGCCAATCAATTTGAGATGTTGGTAGAAACTTGTTCATTACAAGTTCATTGGAGAAATATAATCAAATGAACACATACGAATACAAAACAAATCGACGCTACGACCTTGGGGATTTCAAAACCCCACGCAGGATTTCTTCGGACGATGTGTCTAAACAACGCATTAAAACACCATTACACCGAGTCAGTCTTATAGTTTAGTTCACTGTAGGCTGAAGAAATTGACCTCAGAATAATTAAGGAAATATGGGGGCTCACCAACAGAGTAAACGTTTCTTTAGCCTCAGAAATTGTTAGGCAACTGGAAAAAGATTACTATAGACAGTGTTTTGCCAACGGCTATCCCGTCTAACCTCGAAACGTATCTTCCTATTAGCTTCTAGTAGCTTAGTTGCTTGGAAGATCGTGGCCCGAAACTCTTGAGCATATCCTAAAGTCATTAACGGTTGCTAATCCCTAGTCAGTATGCATCGAGACATTAGGAATTTTCTTCACACCACTTTCAACGTTAACGCCACTGCATATTTCTTAACTTACGCTTCTGTTGGAACGTAGTAGAGTTACAGATTGACAATCACAAAATGTGATCAGCACAACTGATAGGATTATTAATACAAACTCCGTCAATAAACTGATAGACGAACTTCAGCTCTACTTGGATGAATTAGCTGATAATTTGTTCTGTTGTATCTCTGTTTAGGTAGTTGGAGTGCGTTCTTGGTTAAAAAGAAGTTTGATTTTCATGTCATTCTCTTTATAAGCTGTACAGTAAAAGAATTTATTCCATAGTACAGTAAAACTTGTAGCATTTTCTCTTAGTACTCACGAGGTTTGAGTAACCTTTTTTTGAAGGATCCCCCAGAGTCTGCCACTGATAAAGATTTTTATAAGGAGTCTCATAGCTTATTGGCACGAACAGCGATAACGCTTGCTCGGATCTTTCGCGGATTATTTCATGTTCTACTTTGAGCTAATGTCCTTTCATGTGTGACATATTACATATTACTTAAATGTATCAGTGTTCTATACGGGTGAAGAGAACTATGAGCAGTACGACACATTAGAACAAAACCCGTCCTTATTCTCTGGTACTTCATTGGGCGTAACTTAGGTACTTTTAGGTAAGCTGGGTATTGTTTTTTTGGTGTGGGTAACTTTTTAGTTTCTCGTCTTCTAAAAAAATTCAAGAGAGCAATATCCCTTTCAAGGAATAACGCATGAGCATATTTCTCGGTGAGATCTTTCGACGACACTGAAAATAGCTTGAATGATTCTGAAGTCAGGCTATCACCTTTTTTACAAAGGAACTTCAACGGTGACTACGCTTTCTTGACTGAAGAACGCCAGGAGGATGTTACACCCGGGTTCTTTACATTGGCTAAAAATATGACACGAGAATTTGTCTGAAAGTACATAGTGGATAGAACTCCGCCTGTAGCTCTTACAGGGTTATTGCCGGTCCCAAGCCCGGGTAAAGGAGGAGGGTTGGGCATGGGATTAGCGTCCCCATCCCGTAGAAAACTAACTCGCTAAAAAGCGCTTACCAGAAAAAATAATCCAACCCATTTTAACTCTGCCCTGGGAGTAAGAAGGTCCTCATTTGGAAGAATTATGACGCTCCATGGTAAAAGCCGAGTTCCTTCGGAAGCCACGAGGCCGATGCCCCTTCTAACAACCAGAGCAAAAATTTTTATAGGTACATGGAACGTTAGAACAATGTGGGAGACCGGGAAGACCAGTCAAATAGCAACGGAAATGAGGAGATACAACTTAGCAGTACTGGGAATCAGCGAAACCCATTGGACCCAAGCTGGACAACAAAGACTAGATACGGAAGAGATGCTGCTATACTTCGGTCACGAAAAGAAAAATGCTCCACACACTCAGGGAGTTGCTCTGATGCTGTCCAAAGTAGCACGAAATGCACTTGTAGGATGGGAATCTCACGGATCCAGAATCATCAAAGCATCATTCAAAACAAAGAAGGAGGGGATCACAATGAATATTATCCAATGTTATGCACCCACCAATCATGGCGACGACGACATTAAAGATCAATTCTAACGAAATGCCCAAGAAAGGACCTAACTATTCTGATAGGAGATCTAAATGCCAAAGTCGGAATAAGCAACACTGGATATGAAGATATTATGGGACGACATGGACTGGGAGAAAGAAACGAAAATGGAGAAAGATTTGCAAATCTATGCGCATTCAACAAATTGGTCATAGGAGGCACAATATTTCCACACAAGCGTATACACAAGGCTACATGGATCTCACCGGACCACACTACAGAGAACCAAATAGATCATATTTGCATCAACAAAAAATTCCGAAGGACAATGGAAGATGTGAGAACCAGGAGAGGTGCTGACATAGCTTCAGATCACCACCTAGTTGTAGCCAATTTAAAACTGAAGCTAAAAAAGAACTGGACAACTGGGCAAACAGCACTTCAAAGGTTCAATACAGTCTTCCTTCGAGATACTGACAAACTCAGTGAATTCAAGATAGCTCTCAACAACAGGTTCCAAGCCTTACAAGATCTACTGAAAGAAGAAGAAACTACTATGGAGGACAACTGGAAAGGCATCAAAGAAACGTTAACTTCAACGTGTCAAGAGGTTCTGGGCCTAAAGAAACACCATCATAAGGAATGGATCTTTATAAAAACACTGGACAAGATCAAAGAAAGGAAGAACAAGAAGACAGCAATTAACAACAGCCAAACACGAGCAGAGAAAGTCTATTTACAAGCTGAATACATAGAAGCAAACAAGCAAGTGAAGAAGAGCATTAGAGCCGACAAGAAGAAATACGTGGAAGAACTAGCAACGACGGCAGAAAAAGCTGCTAGAGGAGGAAATATGAAACAGCTTTAAGATACAACGAAGAAACTAGCAGGGAAATACAGTAAACCAGAGAGGCTGGTCAAAGACAAAGAAGGCAGGAAAATCACCGAAATTCAACAACAGCGAAACAGATGGGTAGAATACTTCGAGGAACTCCTGAATAGGCCGGCTCCAATGAATCCACCGGACATCGAGGCAGCACACACAGATCTTCCTATAGATGTCAACCCACCAACGACGGAAGAAATTAGAATGGCCGTCAGACAAATCAAGAACGGGGAAGCAGCGGGACCCGACAACATACCAGCTGAAGCATTGAAATCAGACATCGAAGCAACCACAAGCATGCTTTACCTTCTATTCAAAAAGATTTGAGAGGAGGAACAAGTGCCGATGGACTGGAAAGAAGGACACCTCGTCAAGATTCCAAAGAAAGGAGATCTGAGCAAATGTGAAAACTACAGAGGCATTACACTACTGTCAATACCAGTGAAAGTCTTCAACAGAGTGTTGCTGAACCGGATGAAAGATGCAGTAGACGCCCAACTTCGAGATCAACAAGCTGGATTCCGTAAGGATCGATCGTGCACAGACCAAATTGCAACACTACGGATCATCGTCGAACAATCAGTTGAGTGGAACTCATCCCTATACATCAACTTCATTGATTATGAAAAGGCATTCGACAATGTAGATAGGAAGACATTATGGAAATTTCTTCGACACTACGGAGTTCCTGAGAAGATTGTCAATATTATCCGGAACTCATACGACGGACTACAGTGAAAAGTTGTGCATGGAGGACAGCTGACAGATGCATTCCAAGTAAGGACCGGAGTCAGACAAGGCTGTTTACTCTCTCCCTTCCTCTTTCTTCTGGTGGTCGACTGGATTATGAAGACCTCAACATCTGAAGGAAAACACGGAATACTATGGACAGCTCAGAACCAATTAGACGATTTGGACTTCGCAGATGACCTAGCCCTCCTATCGCATACACACGAACAGATGCAGATAAAGACAGCCAATGTAGCAGAAGTCTCTGCATCAGTAGGCCTCAAAATACACAAGGGGAAAACCAAGGTCCTAAAATTCAAAACGGAGAACAGCAATCCAATCACACTTGATGGCGAAACTCTGGAAGATGTAGAATCCTTCACATACCTGGGAAGCGTCGTCGATGAACAAGCAGGTTCAGATGCAGACATAAAGGTGAGGATTGGCAAAGCAAGGATAGCATCCCTACAATTGAAAAACATATGGAACTCAAAACAACTGTCTGTCAACCAATATCAAAGTGAGAATCTTCAATACGAACGTCAAGGCAGTTTTACTGTATGGAGCTGAAACTTGCAGAACTACAACAACCACAATCAAGAAGGTACAAATATTTATAAATAGCTGTCTACGCAAGATACTCAACACCCATTGGTCTGATACCATCACCAACAGCCTTCTGTGGGAGAGAACAAACCAACTTCCAGCTGAAGAAGAAATTAGGAAAAGACGATGGAAATGGATAGGACATACATTACTCAAATCGTCAAACTGCATCACGAGACAAGGCCTAACTTGGAATCCTGAAGGGGAGCGAAAAAAAGGAAGGCCAAAGAACACATTGCGTCGGATAATAGAAGCAGATATGAAAAGGATGAATTACAACTGGAAGGAGGTAGAAAGGATTGCCCAGGACAGGGTTGGATGAAGAATGTTGGTGAGCGACCTATGCTCCTTCCCTCTAGATCTTAAGATCATCTGCTTAGAGGAGAGTCCGATAGTCATAACGACAAAATGAGGGACAGTCTCAGAATTAAGCCCCATGTCACGTTACTTTCCTAAAAAACCAGTCTAACACAACGGTACGCTAACAGTTTGTAATCTCTCGTCTAGGTAATTTGAGAGACATATCATTAGACACTCACTTGTATTGTATTCTATTGAGATGGTTCATCTATTCCGAACAGTTACCAGGTTTCGGTTACGTTGACAAAATTATTAACTTGTTGGGAAGGCGATTATGGACTTCGCTTCTGAAGCGAGTAAGGAAATGTTTTGTAATTGGATGATCCCACCTGGTCATTCTATTTGTGTGTTAACATAACCACCTCCTTTTCCCATCTAAATAGTTGTTCACGCTTGACTAGGAAATATTCGATGTAAATAGCTAGAGGGAATCAAAGACGGTTAGCATGTTCGTTCAGGACTCTTGGTCTGATACAGTCCAAACCAAAGGATTTGTGCAAGTTCAGACATCTTAGAACCTCTTTAATTTTAAGTGTCTCAAAATTCA